CCGCTGATATGAGAGGATATTTTCTTTATTATCAAACAGTGTAAGATGATAGAGGATTGAGAGTGAAAAAAAAAAACTGCCTTAGATGAAATGACCTACAATACTACCTTTTAATTTTGGGTTAATTTCAGAAGCTAGCCATACTTCAGGTGAAATTCCCATTTCTTTCTTTTTTTTTTGGTATTGAATTTACAATATTGATTGGGTGAGTTTTGTCTATTGGGGGGAGGGAAATCTCGTATTTGCAAAATGAGAAGAAAAAAGTCAGTCTGCCTTTCAGGGCCATTGCAAGGCAGAGAAAGCAAACCTCCCCTTCAAAAAAATATATTTTTGCCAAAACCTCCAGTGAATTCATCCTTTTTTTATTTTTATAAAGGGGGGGGAGGTGTCAGGAAATAGCGTTGTATCTTGGGCTCTTTAAGACCGAAGCAGCTGAGTTCCCTCGCCCACACGCCGCTCACCTCCACAGCTGCGCAGATATCCGGAGAGCAAATTTCCCAGATCCGAAGTTCTCCCAACACCTTTAAGAAGGTGGGAGGCCGGATGCGTAAGTCTGGATTCCTGGCAAACCTTTCCAGCTTCTTGAGGACTTTCTGGGTACGGCGGTCTTTCCTGACGTCATCAGGAATCCTGACCAGCAAAGTGGAAAACCTTGAAGAAAGAAAGAGAAACCATTTAACTTGGATGTCTCTAGAACAGCGTTTCCCAACCTTGGCAGGTTTAAGATGTGTGGCCTTCATCTTAAATGGCTGGCTGGGGAATTCTGGGAGTTCAAGTGCTCTAGAGCCTGAAAGCTATTGTTGAGATGCAACTGCAAACTGATATAATAAAGGCTGTTCTTGAGAAAGGGCCCTCCTCTCTTCCTGATCCTCCAGTAACTATTACAGTTCCTCAAAGTAACCCCAGATGTTTGGAATTTAGGATGATGGAATCTCCCAAATTTAGGATGATGAAAACATATGTTCTTTTCTTCACAAGGCACAACGTCAACAGCTAAGGAGCCTGGGTTTATTTTCAATTGTGGTTAAGCGGCTTTATGACGCCAGGACCAAGTTCTTGGTTTTCCTCTGTAGAAAGATGCAACCAAAAATCCAGCTAAGTTCTCCACCCTCTTTCTTACCAGTTTTCTTCCTCTGCGTCTTGTTCGGGTTCTTTGCCCACCACGGACTGTCTCATTCTCTCAAGGTCTTTCCGGAACCGTGTAAGAGAGTTCAGGCACAGAAATTTCTGAATGTTCTTCTCCTCTCGCCTCCTGTCAAATTAGTTTGCATGTTTTACAAAAATCAACCCCTGAAGAAGTCTTTAAGGCATCCAGCTTCTAGTGGGCTACAAGTTCAACATGAGCCAGCCTTTCTGGACTGGCCCTTTCCAACTGTGTTGGCCATTTGTGGGTGGGTGGGCAGTGGCAGGGGGGAGTCCAAGAGCTGCAGAGGAAAATGAAGGCAGTAAGAATGAAGTAAGAGAGGAGTACTGGGAATTATTCTAGGCCAAGGTACCCTACTAGCTGTCTGTGGAGAAACAGCACAGAAAATGTCAGGACAAGATTGATGGGAAAATGGCCATCATGGACTAACCGGTTTGATCCCTGTCTCAAGTCATCATCATCATCATCATTTACACAACAACATGAAATCACAGCTGCCAGTTCTTTAGCTGGTATTGGCCTTCATTTGCACTGAGTTCTTCCCAAGAACCTTGGATGTCGTAAGGTATTGGCGTAGTCTGTGTGTGGATCCCAGCAGTGCGGCCTTTTGTAACTGACAGGTGGAAATTTTGTCAGTGTGCAGATTTTTTAAGTGACGTCCAAGGCTTTTTGGAATGGCACACTGTGTGCGGATAATCACTGGGGCCACCCCTGCCGGTTTATGCCATAATCCTTCAACTTCAATTTTCAGATCTTGATACTTTATGATCTTCTCCAATTCTCTGTCTTCTATTCTACTATCCACTGGTAATTATTTTACTTACTATTACTATTATTATTATTATTTGATTTCAAGGCCACCTGACTCTCTAGTGACTCTGGGCAGTTTACAGATTAAAAATTAAAAGAAAACTAAATACATAAAGAGGAAAAAGAAGATCGCTAACCGGAACGAAAATCCAAAAAGCCAAGCAGCTAATAACCAACCGAGACGCTCAACCCCCAATTCTAGCCCAGGGCCTGGGAGAAGCACCAGGTCTTAAGGAGCTTCTGAACGGTCAGAAGGGTGGGAGCAGTATGACTCTCGGGGGGATATCATTCCACAGGGGAGAAGCCATGGCCAAGGAGGCATGTTCCCTAGGGCCTGCAAGATGCTGCTGCTTAATTGCCGAGATTTGGAACAGGCCCACTAACTGACCTCACTGGATAGGTGATCCCTCAAGTAACCAGGGCTTTATAGGTGATAACCATGACCCTATATTGCACCCAGAAGCCAACTGGCCACCAGCACAGCTCACAAAACAGCAGGGACATGTGCTTACACTGTCACATGCCCATCACTGCCCGCACTGCTGAGTTCTGGACTACTTATAGCTTCTCAGGTGGTCTTCAGCAACAACCCCATGTAGAGCACATTACAGCAGTCCAATTTAGTATGTGCAGAGCCTTCATTGCCAATGAAAAAGGCCACTTGCTGACAAGCCCTCGCTGCTACAGTTTTCTCTGACAGGTGGACAATACTGTCTATTCCTCTTCCAAAATAGGGAGGACTGGGGCCTCCAAACTTTTCTGAGTGTATCCTGTCTCCTATAGTCTTGGAACAGTGTTTCTCAACCGTGGCAAGTTGAAGAGGGGTGGGCTTCAACTCCCAGAATCCTGGGAGTTGAAATCCACCCCTCTTCAACTTGCCAAGGCTGAGAAACACTGTCTTGGAACATCTACCAGGACTGACTTTAGTAAAGCTGCTTTACAGCAACCTTGTTCTAGATCTCGTGCACCTTAAAAATCCCTGTGAATTATTCCTCAAGTGATCTGAGAGCTAGAATCTCTTGATACAGATGCCCCGTTTAAGACTTCAACAGATATCAGGGTGGATGCTTAAAGTGCACATGCAGTGATTTCTACACTGAAGGAATTCCTGTTCTGAATATTGGAAATCTTAGCAGCTCCTCTGTCTCCTGAGAGCTCAACTGACCATCCTTCCTGGTGCTGCAAAAACCTGGATTAGAAACCTGTTCTCAAAAAAATATGAAAACTTCTCAGGGAAAGTTCAGGCCATTGCAGGTTTTCTTGACAAATGGGAGGCACCCACAATCTTTACTTGTTGGTTTAATCTCCAAACAGTGTTTATGCCATCAGCTTGTTTGCAGATGGATACAACAAGGCAGAAACGTCTATGGGGGGAGGGAAGTAAATTTTACAAAGGGCTATTATGGTGACCCACAATGGTTTGTGTTGAGCCTGTGGTATGAACTCGGCCAACAGTATTCAAGAAAGCAAGGAATCAAACAATGCAGCACAAGCTTCCAACCATTTTTAAAGCAGGTTTTGAGCTGGAGCCCATGCCATGGTGTAAGTTCTCCTGATGGTGCCTACAGCGTGAAAAAAACGGCTGGCCCGTGGTGAAACGAAAGCAAATCCATCTGAGCATGATCTGCAAACCAGATCCATGTGTTGCAACTTGAAAACAACATTGAAAGGCGAGCTCTACCTACTTCTCCAGGATGTCGAGCTGATCGTGCAACCTGAAAGCGCTTTCTTGGGACACATCAAAAAATAATTCTCTCATCTCATCGCACAGCTGTTGTTTCCTTCTAATGAAAGAGCTGGAGAAGAAGACACATTGGAAGGAATAGAGAGGCAAAAGGTCAGTGGTGGTGAAGAAGTGGGCCAGGTGGATTTATGCCAACCTCCACCTTCTTCTCTCTACCATCTTATTGATGCAGATTAGAAGCACTACCTTTCCCATCAACACATTTTTAAAATGAAGGAAATAAAAAGCTGGAAATTTGTTTCTAAATACAAGCCATTTTTAATCTAATATTCTGAGCCCTCTGCTACATAAGTGCCTTGAATGTGCTCTTGACTTGGATCTACTATAATGCTACTTTTTAAGTCAGCTTACAGAGCCCCATGGCTTTCACTGGGTCAAACTCTCAATTCTTCATGAGATCCTGACTGCCTTTTATGGGGGGACGTCTTAGGCATTTGAGACCCCTCTTCCAAGTTTATGCAGAGAGGTCAAGAAAAGGGTGCTTCTTGTTCCCAAAATCATCTGTATTCCTACCTTTGAGGCCTGGAAAGCTGTGTTGAGCTGTCATCCTCCATAAAAGTTGTGGTGGTGGTTTTATCTTCTCTCAGGGTCACTGCCATTGAACTACAAGAAAACAGATGCCGTGAAGGGGAATCAACAGAATATGTAAGAAACACCACATAAACCTTGGTCTTGTCTACCATGGTGAAGCTGAGAGGATAACTGGGGAGTGGGGTGGGGGGTGGAAGGCAGGAACCGGGGTTAGTTTACAAGTTTGAGGATAAGAGTTCCAATGATGATCTAGGATTGGTGACTAGAAGTCTCAGGAACTCAGACAGGGAGCAGTTTTCTCTATTTATTTTTCAGTTGCTTTCATCTCTCATACTAAAACAGCTAGCACCCAATATTGCTTCTCATATAGAAGGAGCTACTGGGAGAAAGGAAATGGAATGAGGTGGCTGGAATTGCTGCTTTCCCTTCTACGCTATTTTAAATGTTAATTCCTGGTTGCTTTTATATGGCTTCTGAAATGATGTCCTATGATACTGACTTATTAATCACAACGAAAAGGTGGGAAGTACTGAGTGGATTGAAAAAAATGGACCCATAGAGAAGAGGTGGGACTGGGATGGCAACCCGTGGGAATAAAAGGACATTTAAGAACTGGAGAAGAGTCCCCTTGAGACAGAATGTGTTTGGTGGCTCCTTAGAGCAGAAGGACAGGCTCTGGGAAAAGAAGAGCTGTGCTACCCCTCTTAAGGGGTCCCCAGACTCATTCCAGCCCTGGGGCCCATCTCACTGACTTTCTCCATCCTTTTTCAGAATGTTGGACATGCTATAAACACCCATTTCCTGAAGTCTTTCTTCAACATATAAGCTTATTTTTTAATGAAAGCTCTCTATCCCAGGCAAAGTTGTGAATAAAAACATGTTTTAAGGATTTACAAATAAATCTGTAAAGAAATCCCCAGGAGACTGGAATATTAACAGAGACAGTACAGTGGAGAAGAATGTATACTTCAGAGCTCTACTCACCTCTTTCGCTTTGGCTCCACTGCGCTCCCTGACCCTTCTTTGGGTATTCCTGTGCTGGTTTTATCATCCTTCGAAGATGACTGTGAGCTGAAAAAAAACCCAGATGATCCTTTAGGACACACATCCTCAAGCCCTTTAGTATTCTAGAACGATGGAGAAACTTTCTAACCCACCACCATTGTAACTAAGAGCAGACTGGGACTTCAAGTGTTTCCGTGGAGTTGATGGGCAGGAGAATTACCGTTCCTCACCTTTTGCCCCTTTGTCCAAATGATATTTCGCTGCCTGGACCAGACCTCAACCCGGCGTGCGCGCTAAAAAGTAAGAAGGACAACTTGAAGGTCAGCTGCAGACGGAGCTCCGAGAACAAAACCGAAAAGGTCGGAGAAGACCTCGGATTGAACGAGCACCTGGCTCTCTGTTCAATGCAACAAAACACCTGTGGTGAACATGGTTTTTGATTGCATGTTCACGGATCTTTATTCTTGTTTTACTGTAAGCCGCCCAGAGTCACTCTTGAGCGAGGTGGGTGGTGATGAAATTTGACATATAAAGAAAGAAAGAAAGAAAGACCTCTTTCTTTCAGAAGGCAAACTGTACAATCACCCAGTCCATTTGGGGTGGTATCATGTCATGAGGATCTTTCAAGAATAAGATTGGCCTCCAAAGGCTTGAGATGGCTAAGTAGCCTTAGGAGCTTCTAGTCCAGTGTTTCTCAACCTTGGCAACTTGAAGATGCGTGGACTTCAACTCCCAGAATTCCCCAGCCAGCATGGGGAACTTCCCATTCTGGGAGTTGAAGTCCACGCATCTTCAAGTTGCCAAGGTTGAGAAACACTGTTCTAGCCACATAACCCCCACTCCCCATAGCAAGGGCATCTCAGGCCTTGGGTTCATGCTAACAGCAGCCTTGGAATACACACACCGCCCTTTTTAAGGAGAACACAGCAACCCAAACCGAAAATGGTTCAGAGGCCCTCAAATCTTCCAGATGGTGATTTAAGGAATGATGCCATTTAAGGTGCCCATCTTTGCGTCTCCCCCTGGGCTATGGCAGAAAGAGAGAGAGAAACTAAAATCATTATGATCGTTTTCCTTCCCGCTCCCTAACATCTTTTCTTTTTAAGTCACGTCTTTTGAGACTTTAAATCTAAATTTAAAACTGGTCAGACTTTTGAAAAAAAAAAAAAAACACCTCTGTAAACTGTACTGGGAACCTTTCTGGCTAGTATGTGAAAAACTAACTTAACAAATTACTTTTGTAAAATACAAACCAATGCACGCTGTACTCCTTAAATCGGGGACAGGCATAGACCCCCAAGGCCAGCGATCTAACTTACTAATGTGGTTTTGTACTCCAAAACATATTTTCCTGGCTAAAATTCTTAGCCACGTCTTCATGTATCATCTGAAATAATGTCTGCAGGTCTGTGGAAGAAAGAAAGAAAAAATGAGCACAGGACTAGCATTACATTCCAGGAGAATTTAAGGAAAATTAAATTCCCCTTCGGACTGTTTGCAGCAAAGAATTTGGTGGCCCTTCAAGATTTGAAAAGGAACAGGCCAAAACGTGTCAGATGCTAAACTGATAGACTCATTTGGGAGGGATGTATCTTTAAGGGATCAGAACCCATAGACACTGCAGTAGAAATGCCACACAACTTCTTGTTTATTACTTTTTAGAAAGTGCACCTTTTCAGCAAGCACAGAGCAATTTTCTCCTGGCACTGAGAGCTAGTTGCTCTTCTTTCTTACACAGAATATATCTTTAATTAAAAATCAGGGGTGTGTAGATCATTGTGGGCTTGGGAATCTCCACTGAAGAGAAGCACTTGGTTTAACTTGTCTTCTGCTCCAGCCTGGATAAAAAGCACCATTGAAATGGGAGGCCATGCAGTGCTCCTCCAAGCAGGCAGTATTGTCCTCACAGCAGATAGTATTGTCCTCACAGTCCCCAAAGGGAGAGGAAAAAAGGAGGTCTCCATCACATCCATCAGAGCCTTATGAGTCAAGTTGCAGGGGAAAATTCACAGCAAGGAGCTCTTAAGAAGCGTTCTGTTGAATATGGCCAATGGCATCTCTATTCAATGTTCTTGGTCTTATAGGAGCTGGAAAAAATGCAACCTGGAAGGTCACTAACAGGGATAGAAGATGGGTGGTCCTCTTCTTCCATGATTGCCCTCCAGAACCTCTTATGTATGTGTGTATTTTATTTGCATACAGCCAAATCAATAGACTCAAGGGGATTTATGAAATAGTTGACCCAAAAATCCATAAACAGGTAAAACATCCACGGTAAACAAAAATTAAATCAACCGATAACTAATCAAGGTTATGAAAACCTACAAATAAATTACGGTAATAATGAAAAGCAAGCAACACAAAGTAACAAAACCTTACGCTAAATTAACATAAACCAGTAAATCAATGTAAGTACAAATTAAAGTAAAGATGGCAGTAACAAACTATTTAACCAAACGCCCTTTGGAAGACTTCTGTCTTGAATAGCTTCCAGAACATTAAAAGGAATGGAGCAAGGGTATTCTGCAAGGCTGGAGCAGAGCAACTGGGAAACCGCCTCCTGGCTTCCATTCCTCTTACTTCATGAATGTACATGTTGGATGGGCCAATTCAGGTAAGAGAAGATCCTGTAGGTATCAGGTGCCAAACCATGTTTAAGGAACATGCCTGGGATTCAAGGAGTAGCAGTGAGTTATTGAGACCAATAGCCTAACCCTCCATGAATGTGTCCAGCCCACTTTTAAAACATCAAGACTGCGGACCATCATCATATCTGACGGAAGAAGTGCAGAAAATTGTGCAGAAAATACTCCCTTTGATCACTCTTGGAATCTCGTAGGGACTCACAATAGCTAAGGGGTTCTTCCTCCTCCTTGGTCTGCTTGCTGTAGCTGGACTCCATCTCTTCAACCTCCTTGGCGCTGTCAGAGGTAGGTTGGGCTGCTTCATCAGAGCCAGGTGTCAAGGAGCTGGTGCTGGCCAAAGTGGTTTTGCTATGCGGGGAGGACAACCCACTGATCTTGGACATGCTCCCTGTCATTTTAGGTGCCTTTTTGCTGGATAGACCACGGCTCTGCCTCTGTGCATATCTTCTTCCCTGAAAGAATCATAACAGGAAGTCCAAGGAAGCCCCTTGGCATAAGGGCCCATTCCACCATGCTGAGCCCATGAACTCTGGCACCCACAAGTGAAGTGTGTGTTTTAGCTAAGCCTCTGCTTTGCACAGGGGTTAGTAATAATACAGAACCTTCAAGTTGAGGTATGGGCCACAAGTCAGGGATTTTCCCCATAAGAAGCACTGGTTTGTCTGCTTTGGGGCATTGTGTAAGCCATCTGTAAACCATGATTTGTCTTAGCATGTTGTGCTATTATAGTATAGCCATTATAGTTGCTCACCCTTGGTTGATAGTTGAGCATTAGATGTGAACCCAACAAAATATGCTTTAGTCAAAAAATGGTGCTTAAATAAATCAAGATTTAACGTAACTGGAGTCTGCAACCAGGTTAAATAGGCTTATAAACTCTGGCTGGAGCTTCCATGCTAGGACAGAGGCATTGATTATTCTTGCTTCCCCACCCCCATCCTGCCCCAACACAATTCCCATCCCTCAAACTCTGGAACTGTTGTGGGTGTTGGGAATTCTCCAGGCTTCCCCCTCCTCACAAAGTCTCTGAATTTTTCTAGGGGAAGTGGGGTCTTTGAGATCTCCATCCTGTGATATGCTCAAAGCCTGGTTTCCAAAGCTTGCAGGGGCCAAACCAAGGAATCAACCCTCCTTATCCCACATACAAGAAAAATTAGCCTTTTGATAGAAGCAATTCCCAAGCCAGAAGAACTTACCTTTGCATGCAGAATAAAATGCTCCCATCGACTCTTCACTGCCTTCTCTTTATTGACAGTTTTCATGCAGCTTTTTCCACCACCGTAGTCCCTAAGAAAGGTGGGAGTTCATGAGCTTTTCATTTCAACAGCAGCCTTTTATTAAATGCAGCCCAAGGCTAGCTGATGTGTACATAACTTGCTAACCCTGAAACCCAATTTAATAAAGCACAGTGGCTATGTTCACATAATGCATTGTGTCCAAATGAATTGAACATATTACAGCTAAAAGCACCACCTGGTGTCAGCCCTTAGAGGTAATCCAGGCAAGAAGCACCAGCCATGAATCCTAGCTTTACTTTTATTGTAAGGTTACAGGAACAGAATCTTGCAAGTCTGAAAATGCATCTCTCCCCCAATTGCCTTGACAGTCCAAGAAACTAGGGACGGTCTCTTCTGAGATGCTTGCCACGTCCCCATTCCACCTGTGGGCTCAGCTGCCGCTTATCTGATCATTGCCTACTCTGCAGCTCCTCCTCCTGTTTCCCAAGGACATTCTCACAGACCATGACACCTGGTTCCTGCCACATGCTAAGCCAAAGACTGGATTCCTACAACATGATGAATCACAAAGTTCCCCTCTCCATTTTGTGCCAGCTCACCCAATCCACCCTTTGGAGCAGAGCAAGCCAGGTGAGAAACTACCACCCCAAATGCGAGCTGCTTTTTTCCCAGATGTATGCAGAGTGTGTGTGTGTTTTTTCCCCCTGGGTGATAATCATAGCTAGACACCAGATTCTTTTATTGTCAGATAGGGGGAAAAATGCAATTCTAATGGTCCTGCTGTGAGAATTTGAGAAGGTGCTTTCAGCTTAATTGGACCAGGGCCCATCTATGAGGGCCCCCTTCGGATTGTGTGGGGTTCGTTTTTTGGTTCTTTGCTTCTCCCCCATCCTCTGCTTCGACCCCTTGCCTGATGAAGAATTGCAATTGCTTTTCTTAAAAAAAATTAAAACACTCAAAGTGCTAGTCAAATTTTAAAATTTTCTTATGGAGACAGAAGCATCTGGCCAACATTTTAGATTTCTTTACCCTCTTCTGCTTTTTGTAATATTTGCCCTGAGAAAGAAGTTCTCCAGTTGAAAGTTTGTACATTTTTGTGCCATTTTGGTTCTCCCTAATAAAAATATTGCCCGATTCTAGCTTTTTCCCCCCCAAAAGGCCGAGCCAGCTACAGTTGCTTTGAATGCCCCGTTTCCGATGCTTTTCCCTTCTTCTCCCAAACCGGGAGACCTCGTACGTCGCTTGTCTGAGCCTACTTGCTCCTGAGACCTACTTGGGGTTCCAGCAGGCGATCAGCGGCCTCATGCTGCTATTGGGTTCCAGCGTCAAAGCTTCCAAGAGCCAGTTGAGGGCGCAGAGCTGCCGGAATATGGAGTCGCTGTTGAAACAGAAAAAGGCTTGTCGGATTGGCAGAAAAACAGGGAAGAGGGGCCCAGGGTTTAGTTAAATTGGCCACAATCAGAGGGACACACACACAGACTTGAGGCTCTCGTAACTAAGGAATGCATCCATGTACGCACGCCTAAACTCTGCTGTCGTGAATTTTACAGGTCAATTTCTCCCCGTAGCTAGCTAATTTAGCATCATGCTCTCCCATACTTTGCCAAATGATTTGCATTTGAAATCATGCGTGTTTCTGAGCAAGAGAATAGGTGTACTGTCTTTCACATCCCCTGCCCCAGGTAATTCAGCCGAAGGGGAGAAATGCTGGGGAAGGAGGGTGGTCTTAGCCCCTGCACTGTGGCTGAGAAAAGCCAGACGCCGGGTTTCAAGACCACAGGATCAACTTTACAAACTTAAGAGCTTTATATCAGTTTTCCTTATCTCGGTTAAGGCTTCTGTACACAATGGGGGGAGGAGGGACCTCCGGGAAGCTCTCTGCAAATTTGGAATGACAGGAAAAGCTACAATTTCAGCCAGTATTTGTGAAAGTGGAGTTTTACAATCAGGGTCCTGAGAGATATTTGGGGGCTTTGGTAACATCAGAGGCTGAACTGGAGCAAATAGGAAAGCCAGAGCCAACTTCTCTCTCTCCCTTTTTCTTTTAAATAGGGACCTACTGCACAGTCTACGCCTTTGTGAGACAGAATTAGAGAAAGAAGACGAGCTGCCGACGCGCTCTGGAACATACAAATGGGCGTCTGGATGCTTTTCTGACAGCAAGCCGTTATGGATGGGGGTGAAAGGTCGAGCCATTTTCTTCTTCTTCTTCTTCTCCGTCTCGCTCAGAAAGGAGCCTCCCGTTAAAAAGAAGCTGAAGCCAGAGAGAGACAAACACATGTCAGGAAACAAAGGCGCTGCGTGTTCCAGCCGGGCGCGGAGGATCCAATTTCCGCCCACTCGGAGAGTCCATCTTTTCTAAAGGGCATCCTGACCTTGCCCCATAAATGTGACCCCGCCTGTTAGGACTGCCAAATGTGGCAGGTTGTCATGACAAAGAAGGGAGAACTTTTTCCTGGTGTTCGTGCTCCTAACAGCTAGAAATACCCTTTTCATGCAGAGCTGGACAATCTTCTGGCAGCCAGAGGCTGGCTGTAATCTTCTGGGCCAGGAACGAGGGTCTTGGAAGAAGGGAGTCGGAGGGGCCAGGCTACCCATATGGCCGGGGGCAGAATTTTTAAATTTGATCTTGGATTTTGGGGGGCAGTGGGATCCTTATTTTATTCCTTTTTAAGGCTTATACTATTGCTTTTGTGTTTTCGTCTCAAAATAGCTTGGGGGCTACATCCAGTCCTGGCTTACTGGCGGCTCCTCCCTGTTTTAATGAGCACGGCTTGCTCGAATAAGGGATGGTGGTGCTTTTGAGCACTGGTGGTTACTAGCGGTTGAACTTATCTCAGCCCGAGAGGCCTGCCTCAGGAAGTAAACACTGAACTTCTGAAAAGCAGGCAAGCGCCAACATAAATAAATACGAATGGGAGATTGATGGATGGGACAAGATTCTGGAAAGCAGTGATTTATAGCTTCCGCTTAGGGATACCATCATCCTGCATAGCAGTGTTTTTCAACCTTGGCAACTTGAAGATGGGTGGACTTCAACTCCTAGAATTCCCCAGCCAGCATGCTTTCAGATGTGTGGACTTCAACTCCCAGAATTCCCCACAGCCGGGAATTCTGGGAGTTGAAGTCCACACTCTTCAAGCTGCCAAGGCTGAGAGACATTTCCCTATAGAGACAGCAGAATCATTTTCCAGAGCATGAGTCTTATCAACCAACACAGATCCTCCATTCATTTTATATTTTACAGCAATATAAACAGTCTGTATGGAAAGGGAAGGAGAAACTACAGAATAGCCTAACGTGCTTGGCAGCCCCAGGTTATTTATTGGGCAGAGGGATGGAAAAATAAGGAAGGGAATTTTCCAAAGAGGCAGCTATCTGGTAGGAACACTAAACAATGGGATTCCATAGGCTGCAAGATTTGGTTGCAGGTCCTCCAGAAATTTCAAAGGCGTTGACTGCATCAGTGCTTTGTGTCCATGAATGGATGCTCTTAGTTGAAATTCTCCACAAATCAAAATCACATTGTGGTTTTCTGGCACAAACTTGAGGTGAGCTTCTTCCTTGGCTGTTCTTGTTCAAACAGGTTAAGAACCTGTGTGTCTCAGCCAGCCTGGCCAATGAAAGACATGGTGAGCTGTAGCTCAGCCACACCTGGGGGGCCACCGTGGACCCACCCCTAATGAATGTAGCCAATAATGGAGAGGATCTGCAGCTTTCTTTTTGGAGTATGTGAGGGCTAGGATACTTCTCAAAAGCGGGGTGCGGATGGCCTTGCTTGAAACAGACTTACCAATGATGAAACTCCCCCCAAAGCATAGCCAACTTAGATCTGACAGTACTGACAACAGCAGCCTTTGCCCTCCCGTGGAGAACTTCAATTCCTGCTGTCCCCAGCCAATGTGGCAAGGGCAGGTTGAGGTTAAAACCCAAAACACCTGGCTGGAAATGCTTAGGAGAAGAGAAGCCATTGGTCCCTACAGCATTAAGGAATTTAAAGACACCTACTCGGGTTCATCTTCTGAGTCTTCTTCAGAGGATGAGGATGGGTAGCGAGGGGGCTGAAACTCTGTTCTCATCCTTTCTTCTTCCCTCCGCTCTTCCAGCTTGAATGCATTCCTCCTCTCAATGGTTTCTCGGCGAAGACTATGGAAATATCCACGCCCAATCTTCACGGAGTGGATCAAATGCCTGCCAGAAAGGATGAGACGTCAAACAATGGCAGCGCATAAGCAGTGCTCCCCAATCACTCTCCTTTGGGCCCACTTGGCTCTGTTTTATCTGCCTTTAAAGATTCTTTCACCAATACAAAATAAACCAGACCCAAAGGCTGGGTGGAAAGGGAATTCTTTTTTGCAATAATATCTACAGGATCCACAAAGGTGGTCCTGAGATGGTAGAGCGCATCCTGGGGAACCAGTTCCCCTTCTGTTCAATGGGTGCTTCCTGTTGGCCTCACCCACCCTGGCTGCCATTTTTGTCTCCTAATGCCAAGGTTCTCCCAGCTCAAAAAGTTCGCCAACTCCTGAGTTATAGCAAAGCTATAACCCTTCCCAGCCATACTTCAAAGTTATGAATTAAAAGCCACTCAAATATGCAGATTAGCCATATTCTTGAAGGGCAACTTTGCACGGGCTCCAAACTGTCAATTGTCCTAAGTCCATGGGAGCCCCATGTGCAAAGGCTTTCCTGATGCAAAAGGAATGCTTTGCACGCAAACATATCCTGATGGGAGATGAAGCAGAGAGTGGGTACCCACAAGCCAAGGATCTGACCTTGGTTCTCCTTGGTGTAAGCGTACAACTCTATCTGCCATCTCAACCGCTTTTTAAGCTAAGCACTGGAGGAATGTGTCACTTTGAAGCCTCCAAATGGTAGGGAAGCTGACATCCTTTGTACTCATAATCATACGTGCACATCCATTTTGGCTTTCTGATGGTCAAACAATGAAACCGCATTCATTTACTTGTGCGATGGCGTTAACAGCATTCAGCCGGCTGGAGCAACACGGCAGCTCTTTGTCTCCTTCTCTCAGACACGGCATTTGGGAAAAAGGGGTTGATCATGAAAAAGCAAGGGAAAGGAAACGCTTTGACGTGAGCTATCTAAGGCGAGAATCCTGTGAATCAGCTGTCCTTAAGACAGGTGGCCTGTTCCTTAGGAAAAAGCCACGTACGCACACAATTGCATTATTTATAAGGTGTCTCTTATTAAACTGAAAGTAGGACCAGGAGGAAATACTGCAATCGCTGTGCAGTATAACGAGGTTCTTCCTTGGCTCCATTTTTGCATAGTTTCCTTAATGATGGCTGATGGCTGTGGGCCCTTCGCCTCTTGCCCGCTTCTAAGGAAACTGGAGAAAAGCAGCATTGCCCTTGTTTATTTCCATTTATATCCTGCAGACCTGTCTGAATCTAGAGACTTGCAGAACTATTACGTGGTTTTGAAAACAGTGCAATTCCCACAAAGCAAACACCAGGGGAAAGGGGCAGCAATTGGCACAAACTGGGGATGCCCCAAACGAAACCAGAGCATGCCGCTGACTAACTAATGCGGCTGAGTGTGAAATGGGAAATGAAGAGGAGGGTGGAAAGAGAAGGAGAGCAGAAAAAACTCCTCAAGCAAATCTCTCTAAGGGGGCAGCAGACCCTTGACGGTGGAATGGGCAGAACAGGGACAACAAAGATGTGGAACAACAGGAAAGTCCACAGGGTGGTGGTCAAAAAGTCAAGAGGTCATCTGTGACTACGCAGAGTCCTGCCCTTTCTTTACCTGCGTTGCAGCACTCTTAAAAAACATAGGGCTTCTGTCCTAGGATCGTGGTTGCATCTTGACTTGTTTGACCACTCCTCAGGGGACGTTCCTGTGGAGCAACAACAGGAAGGAAGCGATGGAGCAAGAAGAAAAGGATGGAGGACGACAGAGCAATTGATGAACCCGAATCCCCAATGGGGCGATTCTTTGCTTAGGGTCAACCTAAGTGTTACAAAAGCGTGTGCAAGTTTTCGAGTTCTCTAGAACCCCTTCCTCAGACAGGGGAGAGGGAAGGAAGCAAGAAAGGACAGTCCAAAAAACAGGCGGGAGGATTCAGACCCAAGATGGAGTTGTAGAATAACTGTACGGTTATAGTAGAGGTTGCTGCTGCCATGTTGTATCTACATTCAGGGCCACAAAAAAGTCCTGGGCCCCCTCTGAAAATGCAAATCCATCCCACCCCATTCATCTCTCCGGGAGGACAAGCAGGCAGAGCGCAGAATTCAGGAATCATCACAAACTTCAAATCCACATAGTTGGAGAGTAATTTGGTGTTCTGTGCCAGGTATATTTTCACACCTGCAACAACCTGGATGATTGCAATTTTCTCCCTCTCTTTGCTGCCATCTGGTGGTTACCTGGATTCCTGCAGCCCTGACATATAGCCCTAAGAAAGCCCGTGGAGC